CTCTCAAATTGAGTTAATTTTCATCAATGAGTGATTTATTGAGCAAATTAAATTCAAAATGAGAAAATGTCTGAATAATAAGATTCATTGTAATGCATATCCTATGAGGCGGCTTGCAATTCAGAAATTGAAACTTTTACTTAAAATATAAAACATAGCCAAAGCAGCTTTTCTTAATGACTAATTCACTTGAGCTCCATATTTCAGAATCTTCAGGAATCACAATGAGAATAATGATATGATCATGATTTTAATTTTGATTGGCCTGAGAGCTTGTGGTGTATGGTCACTTTCCAGAAAGTTTTTTTCTAGAAGAACTATCTCTCCCTAACCACAAGGCTGAGGAGGAAGCAGCAAAAAAATTGTAAAAGACTTGCATGCTAGCTTCCCAATTCCCTTCTCATTTCCCATCACAAAATGAAAGATGGCCTCCATCCTTGTCCGCAAAGATCAAATCCCTTCGGTTTGGATAAGTAATATTTTACAGCATACAGCCTTTACAGTTTTTATTCATACAAAGTAGTAGAACAATACATCTTTTTTTGGTGTTTTTGTGCCATTAGTATACATCAAGGCGGCCAGGCAAAGAATGAAAATCCTGATATTGAGACACATCTGCTAGGAGTTTGGAGGGGTGGATGGGAGATTGATTGGGCCCTTGAATAGGTCTTGTTAAGACCTATTTTTTTGGTCTAACTGGCAGGTAAATGCATGAGGAAGGTCATGATCAAAATGGATGGGAAAGTTCTGCCCACTAAAAGTCCATTAGGCTCTCACGCCAGATCAACAACACATCTGGCAAGCCCCTGCTTCAGAGGTCGCGCGAAGCGCGAGTGACTGGCGCTTTGCGCCAGCTCCTCCGAAATTGGAGGCTTGTGTGAAGCTAGAGCACAGGGTAGGGGCTTGTGTTAAATTCGGGTTTCCACCTTTTTCCGATTATTCTCTCATCCAAACCACCCGGGGGGTACGGGGTTAGGAGGATTCGGAGTTCCGACCAATTCCAACATTTAATCGACTACTTCTCACCTTGGGATGTATATTTCAAAAGCTTGTGGTGAGAAGGACGCGATGTATTGCAATCGGTTTTCGATTTCGGGGGGAGGCGGGGCTAAACGCCAGCTTATCTAGGCCTTTCTGTGTCTCACAGAGAGGTCGGCGCAATGTGATAGGTGCTTAGCCACCCGCAGCACCCTCCACCAGGAAATGGACTTGTGTCAAGTTCAAGCTATATGGGGCTCTTCACGTGGCACACGTCAGCTGCGTTGTGGCAATACTTAGGTATGGTGTACCTTTGAGAGCAAGAAATCTATTAACATGTCACTTTAGTACAGGCTTAATTCTTGAGTTTTCTTTCGAGACATTTGGGGAAGACATGGCTTTTTTACGGGTGGAATGAGGAACAGGAAATGGGGGGTGAGAGCGGGTGGTTTTGCTAAAATAACACGGGAGGTTTTTGGATGACGGTTCTTTTAAGGAGGCACCATGAGCCAAGAGAAAAACTAACTACACGCGGAGCTAATGTGATAATGTCCTTTGGTTTTTTTTCAGTTTTTTGAGTACGTTTCTTTTTGATTTTGTCGTTTCTAAACCCTGGCTGAGGGAGGGGTGAAAGGATGGAATTTCAAACTTTTACGAAGTGGATGATAATGTCGAGAAGATCAAGGGGGCGAGATAATCATTCATGGTCCAAGGAATGTTCAAATGAAGGTAGGCATTGAGCATTTGATGTTCTGGAGTTTGATCTCGTTGAAATCCGAGGGGCTCCGGGTACCAGTAGTTTCAGAGACTCGAATGGGGGAGTACCGATTTTCGCTCGCGCTGTTTCGATGCTGCGGACTGGGTATATCCTGCTCACCAGTGTGTTTCGGTGCGAACACGCTGGGAGAACTGAGCAACTTGTTCCTATCAGAGTTCTGATGACTATCGCGTGGGGAGCTTTTGGAGCAACGTTTAACCAGAATATGCCTTTTCAGGGCGTCTTTGCGCGCAAAAGCCTTGTCGCAAAAGCTGCAGGGAAAGGCTGACGAGTTGGCAAAAGATCTCAGTTTCTTTTTTTTTTTGCGCGGGTAGCAGCAGGGTTTCCTTACGTTTGATATCCAAATGGATTCGCGAGTGCCTCTTCAAATCGTGATTGCGACTAAAACTGGCCCCACATTTATCGCATTTGTAAGGTCTGTCCAAGGTAGGCGCAGGGGTTTTAGCCACAAGGGCTTTGTTGAAGCTTTGCATGTACATTGGTGGATATTCAGCGAAACATGAGGGTGCAGAGACGTTTCCACTTGGATGCACCAGGTCAGGAGTGATCAAATGGAGGGTGAGAGCAACGCGGTCATCGTATGGAGATGGGTAGGGGGTGTCGAAACTTGAATGGAATGGGGGTTGGTAAGGCGTGCTGTAAGGTAAATACATCTCTGGTGCTTCCTGCTGAGTATTCGCGTGATAGTTTTTCCTGTCGTCTGCGAGGCTATAGCTTTGAGAAGAGGCGCTGGAAGCCATGGAGTTAATTCTGATACGGTGAGCGGGCTCTACATGGTGCTTGATGCTGTCGCTCTCATGGTGAGAGGATGTATTGTAGTTGTCAAAGAAGCTCCAGTTGGTGGTGTAGGGTTTGGCGTTTTCGTAAGTTCTTTCGAGCACGCTAAGGTCTATACCGTGAGGGGATGGTGCGTTTGGGAGAGAAAAGTTCCGCGCTGCGTAATCTGGAGGAAAGTCCGGCGTGGTGACAGGGACAAGAGGTCCGGGTCGTGGGTTGGGCTCTGCTGGATATTTGGAATCAAAATTTAGAGATAGGAAGGTCAGTGGAAATTCACCCTGAGGGGTACTTGGAACAAGCGCCTGGAAGGGAAGAGGAAGATGTGAACCTGTGGAATTTTCCCAGGAAAGAGAAAAATTGATCGAATTTTCACCAGGCAAGACGTGATTCATCGTCAAGCTAGCAGTAAGGCAAAAGATTGGGTGAAGATATTCTGAAGCGAAGTCTCGCGCTGTGCAGTAATTAGGAAAACACCTTTGTGGTGAGGAAGTGGGTCGGAGGAAATGCGACGAAGAGTGGTTCCAACTTCAGTATCTACAGGGAGCAGGAGCGATGGAGGATGAAGGGGTTTGGTTAAAAAGCGCCTTCCACAAATGCTGAGTGGATACAGTGATTGGAAAGCCGAATGGCGGAAGAGACTGAGTAAATACTGTGTATAGGCTAGGGAGGAATAAAACTACGGCGGCTTTAGCCAGCCAGGGCAAGACGGATAATTATATACGACATCCAGGTGCATCCATCCTGGAATTTGTTGGCTCCATGGAACAAAGTAGGTATTATCACATAGCACACTGAGCACCCTAGTGACTGAGCTGTATTTGGAGCATCAGGTTCCCTCAATTTTTCGTCGCTTGATGAATACTAAGGAACCTGATACAGCTTACAGTTTCCAATTGCAACCAGTTCTTCATCTGGTTATATCGTTTCCCCAAATTATCTGTATCTCATCTTCCGGCCGTAGAATGCCAGACACAATGACGCTCATGCATGCGGGTAGGCAATCATCAGCCGAGCCATCGGGCCACGGTTATTTTAAAATACATAAATCTTTACTATGTACAAAAAATGAGCTTTCGCAAAACAGATTTAAACCACGTCTGTACATCGGCCATGTGTTGCCATCTTCCTCCATCCTCTACGAATCCCCGACGAATTCTCCCAGCTATCAAAGCATGTGCACGGATCAGTCACGAATACGGAACAGTCAAGCTTGCTTCTCCGGCCGAGATTCCTCAGTTGGATCGGCCCGGAGATACATATCTGCGTGGATTCGAACCATTAAGTCCGGGAGGGCAGCACTGAGCAGCCGCGAATAATATGTTCCGGTCTGTAGCCTGCTTGCCCTCACACCCATCGGTCGGTCGGGGAGACGGGCCAGGGGGAAGAGCCATCCTTTCTTCCTGCGCTCGACCGGACCGTAGGTATCTTGGGTCCTGATTCCACACTGCTTTTTCACTGGTAGCTTGTGGGACTTAGAGGAAGAATAAAGAGGAAATCAGGTTCTTGTTCAATTGTCCCTTAACAACCTTTGTCATGGATCACATTTTTTCCTTCATCTTCCAAGTTCCATCGGGAAAACGTGTATTGGTGGTTGGGCTGAGCCAGAGGGCCTTGGTCCATGATGTCACGGTCGGCAGTGCCAATCCACTCGGCAGAGCGCACGCTAATGGATGAAAGAGACAGGGACTGAGACAGTGTGCAATCTGTTCACAGCACATTTCGCAAAACGATCATCATTACAAAATCACCCTATTCTCAACTTAAATACTCCTGTCTCCCCGCACCCCTTCTAGTTCTGCAGATTCGTGACTTTCATTTCTGCTGAGCTAAGTACACCTCCACTTCTCTGCTTTTCTTCTTTCTGTTCCTTTCTTTCTTCACCCATCCATCTTTCCACTTTTATGAGAGTCCTGACTTCCTTTTCTACTGTACGTTATGGTGACAAGATTCCAGCTGTGGGAAGAGGTTTCCTCTCTTCCATTGAAGAAAACTCAACACAGTAGCCTTAGCAGATTTGAAGACAGGGTTTGGGGAGAGTAGCAGTGGGAGTGGCTCATCTTCCAAGGAGGAAAAAAAGAGGATTGGCTTGCAGAGGATATTTGGGACTTCCAAGCTCTAGTGTGTGTATTTGTGGGTGGGTGTTTGAGAGATCCAACCGACACCTACTCACCCAAACCAAGGATTTATTTTTCTTTCAGCTTTCCCACTGCAGTAATATCATGAATTGCACCATCAGGTTAGTTGAGAGCCAAGCTGCTGAGCTGAATCAGGCAATTAAAAGATATGCAAATGTTGTAAAAATTTTGAAGATGAAGATGTGTCTGGATGGACTCAAACCACAATCTCAGGACACATACTAGAGTACTGCCTTAACCAACTAGGCTACAGACACTTGTGGTAGCCAGGGTGGTTAGTAGTTGTCATGGTTCAACTGAGGTGATGCATCATGGTAGCACACTAAATTGCACCTCAATAAATGTTTGGTTGGCTGCCAAATTTGTATCATTTGGGAGAGTTGTCTTGGTTTTCAAGTTTGCATCATTGGGGGTGTCAGGAGTAATTGAGCCTTTTGATGCTGAATGGTGCCTTGTGGATGATTGTTTTCACAGTTCTAATGGATGTGGATTGAGAAATTGATGAATTCTCACTAGCAAGGCTTTTATCCATATTCTCAATGTGATCATAAAATACAAAAAGAATATCAAGGTCATAAGGTGGTGACATAGCTGATATGAGTTATGATCATTTCAAGACAAAAAATAAGTCCTTGAATGAATCACATGATTTTCCCTATGAGCCTTCCCAGTCTTTGGGAATTCAAATACAATTTCAAGAAAAGCTGGACGAGGAAAAGATATATAGGAATTTTTTAGCAGGTGAAATCAAGATCTGACTTATTCATATTGGAAGGATAGAACGGCTTGACTTGGGCAATACATAAGGTTGATTGTTGAGCTTGAAATAAACAAAATTTATAGCCAACTTCATCATGAGTTCAACCTGGCTTGTAATGTACTTCAGACCAACATCCTAGAAGTTACCAACAGGTTATTCAATAAAGTGATGTGAAAGCACTTGAATGCAAGTGCCATGGAAACAGCCCTGGTGAATTTTGAGATCTTCAGGCTTGAGGTTCCAAACAGTGAAATGTGCACTTGAGAGCCAAGCTATCTTCAAGTAGTGATGTGCAGATGTATCTTTAACCTCAAAATGAATGGTATAATGAAAAAGCATTATTTTACTATCTTCTCTTCTGAAAGTCTAGGAAGCAATAGAGTTTGAGGACAGCTGACATGCAGCATGCTCCAGCCAAGCTGCATTCAAACTTCACTTATTTGAAAATTTAGATGTCTTGGCACAGTCACTGTGCATCAAAGCTGGGTTGAATCACTCTTTGAGAAAGGTTGGAGTAACAACAGAAGCTTCCTGGGCGTTCCGAAATGTCAACTGCAGGCAGTTGAGCAAGTTTTCCTTTCAGTGTGAAAGATGCTAATAATAAAATAGTAAAAAAGGGAAAATAAAGTGAGTGTAAGAGAGTAAAAAAATGTATATGGGGAGTTACAAACTAAGTTGTAAATTTAAGGGGTAACTGATTTGAACTAGCCAGCTGACAGAGGAGGAACAATTGTTGGTGCAGTTGGAAAATTTGGTGTCAGTGTAGATTTGAAAATCTGACAAATTTGAGAAGGCATAGAGAAAACTGCATTGGATGTTTTACCAGCTAGGTACCAAAGAAGATAGATTACAGCTTTCCAGTGTAAAATCCATGGTGATTCCAGGTTTTCAGCCACATGCGTTTCTGGAGGTAGGCAGAGAATAGACTGACAAGAGTGGTATACAGAGGACTGCAATCACCAGGCCAAAAGCAAAAATTGCCTTGTTAGTTACAAAGGGGCCACTTTGTACCTAGGAAGGCAATGCATGCACATTGCCTTCACTTTGAGTCTAACACACCACCCCGAAAGGGGAGGCAATGATTGTATGTTGCCTTGATAGAAACATTGCTCTTACCTAGGAATTACACATCATTAACTCCCTTCTTAAAATAGTGTAACTCAGTTATAAACCTGTTGTTACATCCATAAAACTACAAGCGCTGTGGAGCTTATATAGGCGAGGGGGTGACTGCGGGTCTCAGCAGTTGCTTCCGCTGATGACATGGTCACGCGGAAAGCTGAGGCGGACAAAATTAAACAAAGGAAAGTATC